GAGGCCTCGGGCGGCGGGCGGAGAACGGGGGGGGGGGCAGGGGGGGGGAAGGAGGGGCGGAGGCAGGGCCGAGTCTAGACCGTGCTTGTCGTTTCCGTTGCGTTTTCGTTTCGTCTTCGCTTTCTCCCTCGTGTTGTCTTTTTTATCCGCCTGTGACGCAAGACGAAATCGAAACGAAAACGGCCCACGGAATCGCCAAAACACCGTTTAGGTGCACCACTGGGCGGAGGGACGGCTCTGTGACGCCTGGTCGGCTTCAGCCCCAGGGTGGCCGCAGGGGCTCTGGAGCGCGCAGACCTCCGAAGGTCCGCGCGGGTCTCGCGGCTCGGCGCTGAGTCCCCCACTCCTTGGCGTGCGGCGGGGGGGTCCGGCGCAGCCCACATCAAACAAATCCGCGCGGACCTTCGGAAGTTATATCTGTGTCGCCTGCTCCTTCTTCAGAGACCTCCCAAATTGGATTCGAGCGGATGGGGTCGGATGATCGCGCCGCATCGCCGATGTATCGGCGACGCATCTTCGATGCGTCGGCGACGTCAGCGATGCATCGGCAACGTCGACGAGGAGAAAATCGGGATCCACATCGAGCCGCATCGCCGATGCATCGGCGATGCGGAGCGATCCCCCGACACCATCTGCTCTGACCCCATCTGGGAGGCTTTTCCTCTTTGAGAAAGAACGAAGAGTTGCAGGCGGCCGGGGGGTCTGAGCTGGCTGGGCCCCGAGAACATCGGTCAAGAGGGGGAATGACACCAAATACCCTCAAAATCGGTGCCTGGACCCCTCCCAAGGTCCCCGTGGTGCAATTTTTCACCCCCGATCCGTTTTCGACGGCCCCGGGGCTCGAAAAAGGCCCCTGGGGACGGAAAAGAGCAGCCAAAAAACATCTCGAGCCCAGAACCTCAAACCTCCCCCGTCCCACCCCCCACCTGCTCGCCGGAACCAGTACTGGGCCACCTCAAACTCCCAGCTGACTCCAAAGCGAGAGTTGGGAGAAAGGGGAAGGACAAGCTGGGTGCGCTCGTGCCACAAATGACATCCTACCCCTCACTCCCATCCCTCCCATTGCGCTAATTTTTCTCTATCCGCGGACGCGTGTCATAGCCAGCCTGAAGCACCCTCATTGCAGCAAAGGTGGCATGTGGGACCTGGGGCAAGTGGAAACTGTGGGACTTGTGCGATATGTGGGACCTGTGGGACCTGTGGGACCTGTGAGGTTTCTGAGGCCTTTGGGACTTGTGCGACCTGTGGGACCTGTGGGGCAGGTGGGACCTGTGCAACCTGGGAGACCTTTGTAGCCTGTGGGGCCTCTGAGACCTGCGACACCTGTGGGACCTGCGAGACCTGCGAGGCCGGAGGGACCTGTGGGACCAGCGGGACGTGTAGAATCTGTGGGAACCTCTGTGGGGCCTGTGAAACCTGCGACACTTGTGGGACCTGTGGGACCTGGACTGGGGCTTTCGGTGGAGATCCCTATGGGGTCGCCGAAATCACGAGGTGGCGGCATGCGGGCCCTGCCACTGGGACCTTCGGTGGAGCTCCAGCTCCCTTCGGGGCTACGAAACGTGTGAGGGGTGTTCCGAAATTGCGAGGTGGCGGCATGCGGGCCCTGCCACTGGGACCTTCGGTGGAGCCCCCTATGGGACCACGAAACGTGTGAGGGGTGTGCCGAAATTGCGAGGTGGCGGCAGGCGGGCCCTGCCACTGGGCCTTTCGGTGGAGCTCCCAGTGTGCCAAAATTGCGAGGTGGCGGCATGCGGGCCCTGCCACTGGGGCCTTCGGTAGAGCTCCCTATGGGGCCACGAAGCGTGTGAGGGGTGTGCCGAAATGGAGAGGTGGCGGCAAGCGGGCCCTGCCACTGGGTCCTTCTGTGCAGCTCCCTATGGGGCCACGAAACGTGCGAGGGGTGTGCCGAAATGACGAGATGGCGGCATGCGGGCTCTGCCAATGGGTCCTTGGGCGGAGCTCCCTATGGGGCCACGAAGCGTGTGAGGGGTGTGCTGAAATGGCGAGGTGGCGGCATACGGGCCCTGCCACTGGGTCCTTCGGTGCAGCTCCCTATGGGGCCACGAAACGTGCAAGGGGCAGAGGCAGGGATGGGAAGAGGGAGGAGGGGGTGGAGGAAGGAAGGAACGCGGGGCGCTGTCCCTTCAAAACGAGGACCCAACACCACAGGATGGCTGGGAAAACAAAACTACTTTTTAGCCTCCTGAGGGCCTCGTGGGAATCCTTTTGAAGACATCTTGGCCGTCTTGGGGCACTCCTGGGTTGTCTTCAAGCCATGTTGGACCAATTCTGAAACGCTCTTGTGCGGTCTTGGGCTCTCTAGGAGCGCTCTTATGCCATCTTGGCACCCTCGTGAACGTCTCGCGGGCCCTCTCGTCGCCCCTCTTCCTCTCCTTTGACGCATTCTGGCGCCCCCCGACGGGTCCAAAACGGCCGGGTGCCGGATCAGTGAGCTGCCTGCCCCCCGGGACCCCCTCCACTATATTTTTCGTGCGAGGAAGAGGCCGCCGTCAGCCAAGTGGCCAGGAAGTTCGCGAACAGTAGGCAAAACGAGAGCCACATGCGAGCAAGCGGGCATTTAGCACCAGCGTGGCAGATGATTCGAAAAAATAAACTGTTCTTCCTTTGGCGCCGATGGGAAACACGAGAAGGAGAGGGACAAATAAAAGAGCATATAGAAAGACTGGAACGGACAGCAGGGATTCACTTGTGAACATGCGGCCTTAGATTCGACTCACGGGAGTAAAGTCCATGAGTCCACGCGTTATAAATTATAAATAAACCAAGCAAGCGACAAGAGGCAACTTGATTGTATATAATGGGAAGGAGATAATGCTTTCAATCCACTCCGGCGCGCGCCCCTAGCTCGTCGCCGCCCGGGGGCGCGAGCGCGTCGCTGCGTCGGAAGCAACCTGTGTCAGGGCCACATCCTCAGACGCGCCCCCCTATACATAGGGGAGAACCCCTTCCCACATATATATATATATATATATAATGTAATGTATCATCAATGAGGTATGATACAAAGTATGTAGTATACAGTATACTGAAATACACATGTATATGTATATATATATATATAAATAAATAAATAAATAAATAAATAAATACATCTATGTATATAAATATATTAAATACACTAGAACCACGCGCGCGCTTCGCGCGCGCCAGGTTCCAGCAAGCTCTAGTTGTAGTCTACGAGGCGTTCGGCATCGGAGGACGCAGACTGTCACACGGATCGTGCCACTTGGGGAAGCTCCTCCCTGCGGCCCTAGAGAGAGTGGCTTGGCGCAGCGCCTCCGCGCCCACGTCGGCGCACCCCTCACGGGTATCGCGCCCCACAGGGAGCTCCACCCTCGTCCCCCAGTGGCAAGCTTCGCGCAGAGGCGCGCCCCTCACGCGGATCGTGCCTCGCAAGGAACTGCATTGGCGGCACCACAGGAAAGCTTCGTAGCGCCGCCCTGCCCACTTCGGCACCCCTCTCAAACAGATCGTGGCCCGCAAGGAGTTCCACGGACGGCCCCAGCGACAAGGTTCGCATCCCGCCCTCCCGCCTACATCGGCACACCTCTCACACGGATCGTGGCCCACAGGGATCTCCACCTACGGCCCCAGAGGCAGAGTTCGCACTGGGCCCCCCACCTCGCCAGTGTGGCACACCCCATCACGCGGATCGTGCCCACAAGGCGCACAACCTAAAGGCCCAGAGACAAGGTTCGTACAGCGCCCCCCCGCCCATGTCGGCGCACCTGTCACGCGAATCATGCCCCAGGAGGAGGTCCCCCCATGGCACCAATGGGCAGCTTCGCGTGGCATCCCCCCGCCCATTTCGGAACATACCTCGGGGCGGCGTCGGCGGCGGTGGCGGCGGTGGCGGCGGCGGCGGTGGCGGTGGCGGTAGCGGCTGCGGCGGCGGCAGCGGCGGCGGCGGCGGCAGCGGCGGCGGCGGCGGCGGCGCGGCGGAGGCGGCGGTGGCGGCGGCGGATTGGCCACCAGTAGCTACCCATCCAAAGACGACTGCTGAATATGCTGAGGCTCGGGCCAGACTCGGGTGCTACGGATGTGTTGGGAGGGCGGGTGGGAGTGAGCGAGACGGCTTGCGGGCGGGGGGGGGTCTTGACCCCTCCCCCTACCCCCTCCCCTGGACCTGGACGGGGGGGGCCGCTGGTCGGCAGAGCGTCCAAGATGGCCTCGGCGAGGAAGCCAAAATCATTGATTTTACTAAGGTTTTGGCCCCATTTTGGCCTCCTGGGGGAGCGACGCTAATTCCCACCCCCCCTTCTTTGATAGATCTCCTCCCAGATGGCCCCAAAAAGTGCCCAGGAGGCCCCAAGAGGTCCCAAGATGGCCCCAAGATGGCCCCAAGAGGCCCCCAGGAGGGCCCCAAGAGACCCCCAAGAGGCCCCAAGAGGCCCCCAAGAGGCCCCAAGAGGCCCCCGAGATACGCAAGAGGCCCCCAGGACCGCCAAGAGGCCCCAAAGACGGCCCAAGAGGCCCCCAAGCTCGCCATTGTCCTCATACTCCTCCTCCTCCTCATCCTCCTCCTCCTCCTCCTCCTCCCTCCTCCTCCTCCTCATCCTCCTCCTCCTCCTCCTCCTCCTCCTCCTCCTCCTCCTCCTCCTCCTCCTCCTCCTCCTCCTCCTCCTCCTCCTCCTCCTCCTCCTCCTCCTCCTCCTCCTCCTCCTCCTCCTCCTCCTCCTCCTCCTCCTCCTCCTCCTCCTCCTCCTCCTCCTCCTCCTCCTCCTCCTCCTCCTCCTCCTCCTCCTCCTCCTCCTCCTCCTCCTCCTCCTCCTCCTCCTCCTCCTCCTCCTTCTTCCTCCATCCTCCCCCTCCCCTCTCCTCCTCCTCCTCCTCCTCCTCCTCCTCCTCCTCCTCCTCCTTCTCGTCCTCCATCTCCTCCATCTCCTCCTCCTCATCTCCTCCTCCTCCTCCCCCTCCTCCTCCTGCTCCTCCTCCTGTTCCTCCTCTTCATCCTCCTACTCCGACGACGATGACTCCTCCTATATCCTCCCCCTCTTGGGGTTTATGGCGGCTTACCCCGCCCTTTGTTTTTCTGCATGCTCCCCCGCTTCCCTCATCACCTCCACTCCACTGGGGCTCATTTCTGGACGGGCTGGTGGGGATACGCGAAGCGTTTAGAATAGCTACCCTAATGGGAGTCCTCCGCCTCCATGAAAGACGATCACTTGATGATGCAGGTGTCCATGTTGTCTGCGAGGAAGGCGTTGACTTTCTTGGCGAAGTTGTACACATCTTTATAGAAAGGGTGTTTCAGATTCTTCATGCGCCTGTTGAAATAAACGCCCTTGATATCGTCCACGAAACCAGCCCGCACGAAGCGGCCAATCTCAGCCATGTGCCCGAATTTGTCGGAACCAACGTCGAGCCACAGCGGATCCTCCAAGATGATGGCCGACATGGTATGGTCCAACGAATGCAGCACAGTCCCCGCGAACAACGCCTCCCCATCCATGCCGCCCATTGCCGCCTTGTGCTTCTCGAAAATCTTCATGAATCCATGGCGCACCTTAATGACGAAATTGCACATCGTAGAGTCCCTCTGAAGCTCCCGGACGTTCGCGTGGAACGGAACGCCCGTCGTCACCCCAGCGTCAAAGACTTTGGTTAGAGCCGTACATGGAAAACTGATCACTCCAGCGAGGCATGCCACATGCGACAGGATAGGGAACACCGTGTATCCAAAGTAGTTGTACGCAACTGTGGCCACAGAGTTACGCCTCAGACAGGGATCATGGCTATGCACGTTCGTACCCCAATTTGCGAGGGCGTGTATTTTCACGTGATTGGCAAATATCAGGTGGAACCACACCAGTGTCATCGCCTCCTCTGCTGTCAGGTGTTGGCGATCAAACTCGGCGCTCACCATGGACTTCTGCTCCAAGTCCACCTCAACGTAGAGCGTTTTTGAATCGTCGAAATCACCGCAGGCATCGAGGATAGGAAACTTTGGCCATATGAATGAGGCAATCCGAGGCTTGGAAGGATCCTGTTCGTTGATCGCGACGCCGAGGAAATTTATTATTTCCGTCGTCTCGAGCAGCATGCGCGCCACTACTTTTCGCGGGTCGTAAGGCTTCGGTTCCAACCATGTCCGTTTGTGCAGAGCCTGGCGAACGATAAGCGAGATCGTCCCACAGACAGCTAAGCAAAGCGCGCACGCCCCAACGAAAACCTGGGCCCACAAGAAGTCCAAGAAATCGAGATAAATGTGATCCATGTCAAGCTCAGCAGCTTTGCGCTCGGTGTCCACTTTCATGACAGGACTGCCATGAACGAGATCTTTTGACGGCAGCCTTCGGAGAGCTCCCGTTGCCTTCGCCTCGCTGAGAGGCGACGTGCTCTGCCTGCTGATTAAACGAGCGGCCGAGCCTTCTTTGCTGATTCGCCGCTGCTCAACGGCACTGGTCACTTTGGCCCATCTTTCCTCCGCCGTGACCTCTGGTGGCAAGCGGTGGGACGGGCACAAGTGGTGTGACCGGTCCACTCTCACATAGAGGAAAATCGAGCGCCAAATCTGATGATAGACGTAGACCACGATGACTAACGCGACAATGGAGGACCCCACCATGATGATGGCGGGGCAGATCATGGCAACGCGCGCCTGGAGGCTGCCGAAATGTAGAGACGGCAGTTCGCAACAGCAGATGTAAGCACAGTATCCGAAAATTGAGCCGAAGTGGCGTGTGTGAGCACTGTCGATGGGGCCCAGTAAGCGTTCAGCGGGCTCTGCCTCCAGGAATCTGGCCGATTGCAGGCAAGTCGTCACGTTCGACACGTTCGCCGAAGCCGACGCCGAAGCAGACGCCAAAGTCATTGCGCCTTAAAAACCAAACCCGAATCTCATCGTCGCCATTCCCTGATGGGCTCGGCTCAAAGAAATGTCAGGATCACGCTCGACGGGCGCGATGCTGCACGACCCCAAATTGATTACGTAGGCGAGCAGGGCTGCGGCCTCCTCCTCCTCCTCCTCCTCTTCATTCATCATTTGGCTTCGGGGTTTCCCTCGTCGCCACGGATGGACGCAGCTCGAAGCACTAGCCAGGATGAACCCGAGGCCCAAGCGGCCGCAAACGATGAAACCAATAAAGGATTCCGACGCTTTCTCCTTATGCATTTTAGCTTCATATCGCCTCGGGGAAGCCTCAGAGAGCCCCTAAAAAGCTCCGAATGACTGCCCCAAGACGGTTCCCAAGCGGCCCCAAGACTGCCCGAGGCGGGGCGGAACTGTGGCAGAAAGCCCCTGCACCCAAAAGACAGCACCTTCGTGAAGCACCCCGCACGACGGCCATCCGTCACCCTACACCTGCGAGCCAGGCAGGTGGTAGGGGCGGGAAGGGAGTAGGCGGCGGGGTGAAACATGCGCAAACGCCACCCGCCCAGCAACGGGGCCGCAAACCCGAGGGGGACCCCCACCAGGACCCGCCCAAGCGTCCCCAAGATGAACTAACCGCGCCTGTTCGGGAAAGATCAACAGAGCCATCGCGCTCAGGACGGCCCAGAGACTCCCGACGGGGCCCCAACAGGTCCCAGCAAAGGCCACCCAGGAGGCCCGAACGAAGACCCAATAAGCTTCTGATCTACCTCTCGAAGTGAGGAGGGAGGAGAAAGAGTGGGGGTGGAGGATGCGGGGGAATGTGGAGAGATAGAAGATGATGATGATGATGATGATGATGATGATGATGATGATGATGATGATGATGATGATGATGATGATGATGATGATGATGATGATGATGATGTGATGATGATGATGATGATGATGATGATGATGATGATGATGATGATGATGATGATGATGATGATGATGATGATGATGATGATGATGATGATGATGATGATGATGATGATGATGATGATGATGATGATGATGATGATGATGATGATGATGATGATGATGATGATGATGATGATGATGATGATGATGATGATGATGATGATGATGATGATGATGATGATGATGATGATGATGATGATGATGATGATGATGATGATGATGATGATGATGATGATGATGATGATGATGAGGGGGCGGAGGAGGACGTGGCTGATGACAAGTAGGGGATGTCTACGACCCACGCCAGTTCAGACAGGGCACTGAATTGAAGCGGATCTTAAAACGAAATTCCCCCCTGCTGCGCTGCTGCGTTGGCATGGTTGCGAAATTTGCCGCAGGCGGCCGCACACTATTTATTGGGAAGCCTCGGTGCACATGTAGAGGTTTCGATCAAACTGGACGAGACCGTCGATGTGCACGCGCCGGGGCGGAATGCCAAACAATAGTGGACGACGCTCGCCGCATGAGCTGCGAACCGGGCAACCACACGTGCCCAACCAACGACATCCTCTGCACATCTGAAACTATCGGCCTGCCCCTCTGAATGGGCCCTGGGACACACAAATAAATACACACAAATAACAGTATTCCCTATATTTTCCCATACTTTCTGGGTTTTTGTCTTCCCCCACACCTCCCATATTTTCCTATATTTTCTGGGGAATCGACGATGAATTGTGTCTGCGTGTTTCTTTCCCTCCTGCTCCTCACCCCCCTCCCTCGAAGGACCGCGTGCCACCAGACAGCCGCAGTGCCGCAGAGCGCCGACGGACGAGGGCAGGAGAGCGCGCCCCGCGACGAGGGGACCCGATCCAAAGCTGCGAGCGTCTCGCGACCGACCAGCCCTGATAGAGAGAGGCCGCGATCCGCCGCCCGCTCTCGCCCGTGCCCTCGGCAGCGGACTCCTCCCCGCCCCGCCCCCGCGGTCTCCGGCGCCGTGGCGCGCTCTCACGCCCGCACGCCGGGCCACCCCCTCGCCGCGGGGCCGCTCTCGGACTGCCCGGGGGCTCGGAGCGGATCCCCAGATGCCCAGGCTCGGGCAAGACGCCCGTCGTGCTCTTCTGTGGCGCCGCCTGGGGGTCTGGCCTCCTCAGCGTCGTGTTCGAGGTGCTCTCGACGGTCCTGAAAGCCCACCGCCAGGACCCCCGCAGGTCGAGAAGCGGCGAAAACGATTCGCCTTGCTTCTGTCCCAGGCGCTGGATATCTGCGGCGGTCGCCACCGCAAATGCTGGATCCTGAGGGGCAGGGTGGGGGGAGGGAAGAGGCCCCCTCCCCCGTCGTTGGTCCCTGGCTTTCGGGTCATAACTCGGCTCCCTGGCGGCCGTTCGGGATGTTCTTGACACCCCCAGAGCGCTCTCGGCGAGGCGCAGCTGATGGACCCGAGAAGGGGGCCAAACCACGGTGCAACGAAGGCCAGAAGCCACTTCTGGTCGCACCAGCAGGGCCTCGAGTTCGATGACTTTGCCTTCATTGCCGAAGAGCTTAATTACGAGCCACCTCCAGCCGTCCTGCGGCATTATTTGAGCCTCTTGGACGGACGCATGCCAGAGATGCGGTCTTGGGCGTTTTGGGGGGCCGTTTGGGGTGGCTTGAATGGTCATCTTGGACATCCTTTGTGGCCGTTCTGGGGCCGGTTTGGGGGCCTCTTGGGCTGTCTTCGGGCCCTGCTGGGGCCGTGCTGAGGCCGTCTTGAGCCCATCTTGTGCCGTCTTGGGACCGTCTTGGGCGGTCGGAAGCCAGGAAGAGCGAAAACACACAAACCCTTCAAACACATCAGGAACATCAACGCGTTTGGCCTCATCACGGCCTCTTTGGGGCGCGCTGGGGGCTCCCCTGGGGTGTTGGGGACCCCTTGAGCTGTGCTGTGGCCATCCTGAGCGCTCCTGATGCCCTTTTGCGCCGTCTTCGCTCAGTTTGGTTCCTCTTGGGCGGTCTTGGGAGTATCTTAGGCTGTCTTGGAGGCCTCTTGGGCCGTCTGGGGGCCTCTTGGAGGCCCCGGGGAGGGGGGATCAAAAAAGAAGCGAGATAGGGAGCGAGGAGAGATCCGAAGTTGTTTTGCGTTCGGGGGCATTCGTCGTCGCCGCGGCTGGACGCATCTCGAAGCAACGTTCTTCCCGAGGTGGTGCAAGACGAGGACGGGGAGAGAGATGAGGAGGCGCCTTGAAGCCATCTTTTCGGCGTCTCGGGGATCTCTTACGGCCGTCTTGATCTCACACCACCGTCCGCACTTACGATCCTTGGTGTTTGGAGCTCGTTACGTGATGAAATACAAGAGCCGGACGAAAAGCTGTGCATTTAGCGTCTCCGAGCCTTCTGAAATGTCCTCTTAGGCCCCTTTTGGGCCACTTCACGCCCTCCCGGGTCGTCCTGGAACTAATTCTGGGAATCTTGGAGGGCTTTGGCTGTCTTGGGGCCCTGTTGGGGCCCCTCATGGAGGGCTCTCGGGGCCCTCCTGGACCCCTTCTTGGGGCTGTCTTGGAGCGCCCTAGCGCTATCTTGGAGCTCTCTTGGGCCGTCCTGGGCCCTTTTTGGGAGCCACTTGGGCCGTCTTGGGCCGATTTCTGTGGCCCTTCGGTGGAGCTCCCTATGGGGCCACGATCCTCGTGAGAGGTGTGCCGAAATCGACTCGAGGCCGTCATGCGAACCCTGCCGCCGGCGCCTTCGGTGGTGCAAAAATGGGGCCACGACACGTGCAAGGGGTGTGCAGAAATGAGGCGGCACCGACATGCGTAACCTGCCGCTGCGGCCTTCGGCGGTGCCGCCTCAGACCACGAAACGTGCCAGGGGTGTGCCGAAACGGGGGGTGGAACTGCATGCCGCATGCGAACGCAGCCACTGGGGCCTTCGGTGGAGCTCCCTGTGGGGCCACGAAACGTGTGAGGGATGTACCGAAATGGGGGGTGGAACCGCATGCGAACGCAGCCACTGGGGCCTTCGGTGGAGCTCCCTGTAGGGCCACGAAACATGTGAGGGGTGTGCCGAGAGGGAAGTGGAACCGCATGCGACCGCAGCCTCTGGGGCCTTCGGTGGAGCTCCCTATGGGACCACGAAACGTGTGAGGGGTGTGCCGAAATGGGGGGTGGAACTGCATGCGCCGCAAAAGCGAACACAGCCACTGGGGCCTTCGGTGGAGCTCCCTATGGGGCCACGAAACGCGCAAGGGGTGTGCCGAAATGGAGGGTGGAACCGCATGCGCCGCAAAAGCGAACGCAGCCACCGGGGCCTTCGGTGGAGCTCCCAGTGGGACCACGAAACGTGCGAGGGGGGGGCCGAAATGGGGGGTGGAACCGCATGCGCCGCAAAAGCAAACGCAGCCACTGGGGCCTTCGGTGGAGCTCCCTATGGGGCCACGAAACGTGCGAGGGGTGTGCCGAAATGGGGGGTGGAACTACATGCGCCGCAAAAGCGAACGCAGCCACTGGGGCCTTCGGTGGAGCTCCCTGTGGGGCCACGAAACGTGTGAGGGATGTACCGAAATGGGGGGTGGAACCGCATGAGCCGCAAAAGCGAACGCAACCATTGGGGCCTTCGGTGGAGCTCCCCATGGAGCCACGAAACGTGCGAGGGGTGTGCCGGAATTGGGGGGTGTAACCGCATGCGCGGCAAAAGCGAACGCAGCCACTGGGGCCCTTGGTGGAGCTCCGTATGGGGCCACGAAACGTGTGAGGGGTGTGCCGAAATGGGGAGTGGAACCGCATGCGCCGCAAAAGCGAACGCAGCCATTGTGGCCTTCGGTGTAGCTCCCTATGGGGCCACGAAACGTGCGAGGGGTGTGCCGAAATGGGGGGTGGAACCGCATGCGCCGCAAAAGCGAACGCAGCCACTGGGACCTTCGGTGGAGCTCTCTATGGGGCCACGAAACGTGTGAGGGGTGTGCCGAAATGGGGGTGGAAACGCATGCGCCGCAAAAGCGAACGCAGCCACTAGGACCTTCGGTGGAGCTCCCTATGGGGCCACGAAACGTCTGAGGGGTGTACCGACATGGGTGATGATGATGGGAGGAGGGAGGAGAGGGAGGAGGCGGGAGGAGGAAGGAGACGCGGGACGCTGTC